TGGGGGGGGCGGCAGCCCCGATGATTGAAAAAGTGATGATATATATAAAAAAGCAGCGGGGGGGGGGGGTCATCAGTTCCTCTGCGGCAAAGCCTCATGGTACAAGTGAGGATTCAATCACGGGCAAGCTAATCCCTGTAAAACACCTAAAACGTAGCGGGGGTGGGGGGGCGGCAATTCCCCCCATGATGATTGAAAAAGCGATGATTCAATTAAAGGCGCGGGGGGGTTGGGAGGGCGGCAGCCCCCCCATGATGATCGAAAAAGTGATGATTCAATCAGGGGCAAAAAGTCGGGGGGGATGATGATTGAAAAAAGTGATGATTCAATGGGCAAAAAAAAAAGGAAAAAAACAGCGGGGGGGGCATCAGTGCCTCTGCGGCAAGGCCTCATGGTACAAGTGAGGGTTCAAATACGGGCAAACTAATCCCTGCAGATCGAAAAAGTGATGATTCAATCAGGGGCAAAAAGTCTAAAAAATAGCGGGGGGCGGCAGCCCCCCCCATGATGATCGAACAATTAGGGGCAAAGAATCTAAAAAGTAGTGGTCGCATGATGATCGAAAAAGTGATGATTCAAATAGGGGCAAAAAGTCCAAAAAATAGCGGGAAGGGGGGGGGGGGCGTTGGGGGGGCGGCAGCCCCGATGATTGAAAAAGTAATGATTCAATTAGGGCCAAAAAAATATAAAAAAAGCAGCGGGGGGGTCATCAGTTCCTCTGCGGCAAGGCCTCATGGTACAAGTGAGGATTCAAATACGGGCAAACTAATCCCTGTAAAACGGCAGCCAAAGAATCTAAAAAGCAGCTGTCGCATGATGATCGAAAAAGTGATGATTCAATTAGGCGTGTATTTTAATCGAAAGGGGGGTGGCGGGGGGCACCAGAGAGGAACTTGCGATGCTGAGGATGCAGGAATCCAAGGCCAAAAACCAACTGGGAAAGCAGAGGATGCGACAAGCCAAAGCCAGAAAGCCGCCAAAAGCCACAAAGCCAAAAAGCCAGAGGAACTGGCAATGCAGAGGATGCGAAAGAGAGGAACTGTGAATGCAGAGGATGCGAAATGAAAAGCCACAAAAGCGGCAAAAACCCATGTAAAAGCCACAAAAGCCAAAACGCCGAAAAGCCACCCACCCTGAAAAACAAAAAATGTTCCTAAAAAAAACGAACAAAAACTCCAAAAAAAATGGCCCTCCGGTTGGAATTCCAATTCAACAACCAATCCACCTTACAATTACTCCATCAATCCCTACTTGGTCAAAAATCCTATTGGTCACCCGAAGGGTTGCGACCCAGTTGCGAGGAGAAGCGGGTTGGGTGGAATCCTCACAGTAGACGCTAGTTGCTGGACAATAGCCAGTTTCCGTGAAATTATCACCTTCATTAGTTTTGTTGGCATTGGACATGAGCAGAATGCTTGCATGTTTGGCATGCGACTGCGTTGTTTCAGCCAACCCTCTCTAGGGCAATGTGGCACGCTGCAAGGTAGGCATGGGGCTTTGGCCTTGGCTTCATTCGGCCGCCTTGTCACGTTTTCTTACTCTCCAGCCTCTTGCTCAATGATGTTGGGACCTGATACTGGGAGCTTAAAGCTCGAGCCCGTTGTGGCATTGTGAGGTGATTTTGCACAATGTTGTTCAGCTAAAAGAAAAAACACTGGGAAGTGGGTTACTGGGGGTTGCTTCTTAAGCGTGCTTGATGTTGCTTGATGTTGAAATATGGCTGAGCGAGATACGGGGCATGTGTCATCCACTCTTCCGCACACATAGACTTTAAGCGGGGTGCAGTGAAAATGTTGGAAACTCTACATCTAAGCGGGATGCGAAACCGAGTCAACAGGTGAGCGGTTTCTGCGGTTGAAAATCGTGCGAGGGAAGATCCAGTCGGATCGCGAGGCATAGCGCCGCTACAATCAACCTAGGAACTGGCTTCTGGCAGCCTGCTGGGTTCTGTGATCCTAGCTGTTCAAACAAAACAAAGACGGCTTCTTTGTGGCCTGGTGAAAAAGCTCAAGTTCCTATGGGAAACCAAGGTGTATATATATATATACATCTTAAAGAGCCTTGCCCAGATGGTGACGTGTAAACACCTTGACTTCCAGACTTCCAAAGCCCCCTGAAAGAAACAAACAATATGTTCAGTAGTTGTAGGTTCCCTTTAAAACCTACAAGGAAAAATAAACAAATATTAATTTCAGCAAATGGAAGTTGACCTGGTGAGTAGAGTAGCTGCAGCCAAGTTTCGCCGCGCTTTCCTGAGAAAAAAAAGAGATTCAAGGCATCGCTGGAAGGATTCTGCATGCGACATGCGGGGAAAGCCAAGCGGCAGGTAATACAAGGAACTGAATAGAATGAGGAATTGGGGCAGAAGACCCAATCAAGTCATGAGAAGTTGGAAAATAATGTAGATTATTTAGTCCCTTTAAGAAACTGTTGTGGCCCCCTTAAAACAATACTTCCCGCCAATAGGACATCTGTAGCAAAAAGGCGATGCTTGAATCCCAATAGGACAGTGAGGAAGCAATGTTCACAAGCCTCAAACGCCGGCGAGCGCCTGCATGTGGTGTGGTCTTAAGGCTCGGTGCCAAGACCGGACATTGTAAAGAAAAGCCAAGAAAAGCCAAACGTAGTTGGCGTGCAGTGAGTTTTAAAGAAACGCCAAAAGGAAAGCGCCCAACTGGGGGGTCCACAATCGTAAGACAAATGTCAGGAGCATGTCTTGCACACTGGCTGTGACGGGGCCACTGTTCCCCAACTGGGTTCTGAGCATTTTGCTTGAACGTATTGTGGGGAGGCTTAGCCATTTGTGGACCATGTGCTCAAGGAAGAGCCATACGGCCAACCGTGCGCTTGGTAGGAAGGGTGCGTATCCAAAATTATATTGAGGCGTGATACTGTATCTACACATGTTGGTTCATGACAGCCCCCGTCGTCAAATGCCTCCCAAAAGGCTTCTGCGAACGAATTGCTGATCCTGCGCATCCGTTGAACTCCACTCAGCACATCTTCATGCGGATGAGGTTCTGCATCCACGCTGGCAACGACAGGAGTCTTCACGGGGAAGTTAAACATCTGCCTGCGCGCGTCTCGAACCAGTTCGGCATTTGGCCAAACGGGCGAAACAATCGTCTGAATGTTCGAACATTCAAGTATATATCTGCAAATATTGCTATACCGCCCAAGGCTGCATGAAGGGATCCCCAGGTAAAGGATCTTTGTCATGGTGAGCTCGTGTTGCTTTCAGGTGAGCTCGCTATAAAACAGGCAGATATACGACAATCCGGGTCCTTCAGCCTCTTGAAACAGTTATCTGATTGACTTCCCTCACTGCGCAGGTGCCAAATTGCTTCTGGGGGCGTCTCAGCCATTGAAGAGTAATGCTCAGCACGAGGTTATTTTCAGGAGTGGTCACTCCCAACATCTTGCTGAGTCTTGCAGGGAAAGCTCACTGGCTGGTTCGCACGGAGATGAAGGAAGGCAAAAGGGCAAAGGAACCAAATCCAAACGTCCAGGGTATGTAGTTCGCTCTAGTGACGCGACCGTTCAGCCCTAAAGCGGGAGGGTCGCAACACGCACACACACCCCCACACCCCCCCCCACACACACACACACACACACACACACACACACACACACACACACACACACACACACACACACACACACACACACACACACACACACACACACACACACACACACACACACACACACACACACACACACACACACACACACACACACACACACACACACACACACACACACACACACACACACACACACACGCGCGCGCGAGGGTCCCAAACGGTGCTTTCCCGCGCTTTCCTTCTGCAGGGTCAACTCAACTAAAAAACACATCCTAATCAAAAACACACCCAAATACTTAGTATTTGTGCGTGCTTTGGGTTGAGTTGACCTTGCTGAAGGGGCTTACCCTTGGATGGCGAACAGCATCCACCTGGCTGAAACTCCCGTTAACACAGAAAGTTGAACGAGCGCGGGATGTTCCAACGGAGAACGCCTGGTTCCGGAAAACGCACGCCTCAGTCTTCGGACTGCTGTCCTGGCCCCACCGGTGCTGGCGGAGCCTCAAGCTTCGGCCTGTCACAACCAAGCGAAATGCCTGGAGCCTCAGACTTTGGTCTGTGGCGGCTGTCCTGGCGGAAGTAAAAAGCACCAGGCTCCAGGCGGGAGCCTCAGGCGGACTGTCACAGCTGTCCTGGCCAGGCCACTGGCCGGAGCCTCAGGCTTGGGACTGGCCTCCACAAGCTCTGTCTGTCGCAGGCTCTGTCGCGGGCTGTTTTTTGGCGGCCGGACGTCACTGAACATCTAACAAAAGACAGGTGGGGAACAAGGGAACAACAGACAGGTGGGGAACAAGGGGTCACGACCCCATTTTTTAAGGGTCATGGAGACTCCAGGTATTTCAGAGTGATGAATTACGACACTCAAGTTGGAGAAACACCCAGCCGACAGGAATACATGCCACCGGCCTATGATCGACAGCGCATCGCGGCCAAAAGGCAACAAATTGAGAATGTGCAAATTACAGTGTTGCTCACTGATCGTCGTGGTGCAATTGTGTAGCAGTGTCCCTTGTAGCAGGAAAGTTTGACAAATTCTAAGCAGTGCAACTCGATTCTAGCATAGCCCCCTTTGGTCTAGAAGGTCCAATGCAATGTTTAACCGTCTAAACTGTCCATATTTGAATGTTGCCTGTCAACAAGTCATGTATGTAGAGCTGTTACATAATTGATGGCCGTCAACTGTTTCTGCCGGGTACCCAGCAAGCGGTTGCTCAGTGTAAGCCGTGGCCAACTTTGAGCCGTCACTTCTGCTGCGTCAAGGTGCGCTCGTCCCATCACTTCCGTCACAAGCCTGTCAGGGGGCTGGTGATGGCTGATGCCCCCCTTTGCAGACCTCGTCCACATTTCAATCTGTAAACTGTCGGGTGAGTCTTTTGGTGTGACCCAACTGTCGAAAGTGGAAACGCAGCGCACGGCTTGGTGGTGTTCCACTCGTTGGCCAAGAAGTACCTAGCGGCAGGGATTCAGCGATGTTCAGAAACCGAGTCGCGTGTGACAGAGTCGAAATCTGACGCACACCTGTCATCCAAAATGGTGGCCGCGCTTGGGCCTCCCTTCCTCCCAGTTTGATTGCTTAGGAGGGCGGGTGGGCCTGTTATCGAGATGTCAAGGTTGACCCAAAGCACAACAAGCACCAACACGCCGTGCACTGAGCAATCATGGCTGTACACGTCTGGATGCTAAAATAGGGGGTCTTGAGAGTCTTGGACAAAATACAATTCTCAGCCATCCCCTGTTCGCCTTTGGACGGTTGTTCAGCATTGTTCTAGGGGTTGATTCCCCATTCTTTTGAACCATCTTTCTTTTTAAAATCCATTTGTTCCTGGGTTTCTGGGGGGGTTGTCTAGAAAGAAGGATTCTTGGAAAGAATGGGGCAGGTAACCCTAGAGTTGTAAACAACAATCAAGCCCCCAGACTTGCGAATCAAGGCTTCGTCAGCGGCGCCTCTGCTCCTCAATGAGGCTGTTCCGGCTGTCCTCGAAGATCGTCTGCAGCTTGAGATGTCGCGTTCCTGGCACAAGGCTCGCAATGTATTTCCCCTCACGCTCAGGTGACCCATGAAGCCACCCTCAAAGAGAATGATTGTTTTTTTCTGTTGGAAACCTGAATCATCTTTGTCCCCCATCACAAGGACGCTCGCATAAAACAAACAAACAGAAAGCTACTGGCAAGGTGGCATGTCAAAAGCCCGACTTGGGGGAAACCCAATTTGACCCATTCCCATATCAGTCGACTATGACGAGTTGACTTTTGTAGTCATTCGAGCAACTGGAGACAGGAAAGGATTCTGGCTGGCACTGCGGAACTGCCCATGCACCATGGGCAACAACAGAAAACCCTAAGACCCCCAGGGATTGCGGGAAAAAGGCGGCGCTCCCATTTTGGTGCTTGCGTTTTTTCAGGGTCCTCCGAGGAAAAGGATCACTGGAGGCCAGGACAGTGACTCGAGAAGGCGAGTTGCTCAACGGAATGCACACAACTTCAGGACGCCTACGCCGGGGAGAGAAGTGCAAGCCCGGCTGCAACGCACATGTTGCGCAACTTGGTGCACCTCCGAGATCCAACCGCAACCATTCGCTGCAATGCGCCGACGTGTTGGAGGTGAACTTAGCGGAGTAAACAGACCTCTGACAGAAAAGGGCCAGGCAAAGACAATGGTCATTGATAAAGGAAACAACATAACTTGAAACGTTGTGACCCTATGTTTCCATCCTCGGTTCCATCCCAACAACACATGTTCCACATTCATGAGGGCTACTCCTAATGCCTTCTCCTGGCCTGCTTCACTCTTTGTCTTTCGCTGCACTCCGCGGCAAAACACGTTAGCAAAATACGTTGCCCTTGTTACCAGAGATATTTTCTCAGCTCTCAGCAGGAGCGGCAGGCAGGAGCATAGTTCAGGCATGTCATGTTTTACATGCTACGCCTAAACCTGCCAAACTTGGCGCACCATGAAAGCAAGTCGTGAACTATTCGTTACAGTGCAGCCAACAGTAATGATAAGACCGTCCCCACTTCCAATGTGCCATGTCTACTTTGCAGGGGAGGGGTTGGTGAATGTAATAAACACCTACAGCCGTGTTTCAAGAGCCCTTGCCTGCCTTCTTCGGTACCAGCTGCAAAGTACGCCTGCGCAAATCTCTGGCGAGTAAGCAACATGTGCCCTCAGAAGTGTGATCAATGGCAGCCAAGCACTTATGTCGCAATGCAGGCAGGCTGGTTGGTCACTTTGGGTTACTCTGTTGTTGTTGCTGGTGTTGAAACTCTTGCCCGCCATGCGCAGGAGGCCCTATGAGCATGGCCTCAAACCCAGCATGGCGCAGACTGCATATCAGCCTCCGGCGAAACTTCATGACACAACATCAATCAGATTGTGCTAGTTGAATTGTTTTCTGCTTTGAGTGTGCATCTTTGCAGCCCACAACACAACGTCTGTTGCGAGCGCAACCGCAGTTGAGCAATACTGTCCATTGGCACATCTTGATCAAAGGACCGACAAGAGCGGCGCAAAGAAATATACACTTGTCCACGGGCTACCAACGCCGAGCTTCTAGCGTGTTAAGGGACACTAAATATGGACTGCACATGTGCAAATTGCGCATGTATATTACCGGAACTTGTTTCTTTGCCTGCTCTGCCAGTTTTTATGCTTGGCAGCGCTTCCGGTGCTGGCGCCTTGCATCCAAAGTGGGACATCTTGAACTGAAAGCACACGAGTGGCACCTGCAGGTCAAGCTTCGAAGAGAGATGACTACGATACGATTGAACTTCCCGGAACATATCCACAACACTGGCTACAGCGCACTGGAACTGCTGCAGTGTAGCATGCCAGAAGGTGCAGGGCAATAGCAGCCGCCACCCTGAAAACTGTGCCACAAATACAAAACAAGATCTAACATGGTGGCTTTGTGTGTCAAAATGGTGCACCCTCCAATACAACAAAAGCACGCACAATTGTCTTTCAGATTGCGATTCCCTGTAACACAACCCCGAGACAGCTTCCCTCATGAAAAGACTCACACCAACATATGATCTATGGTTTAGATACGTGGCTCGCGCGTGTGTCCATTTGCGCACCAAGGGAATGTGATCCTGCAGGCAATAAATACACCCACAACAACAAGTAGTCGCAAGCACACAGCGCACGCTTTAACTCAAGGGGGTCATTTTGCCAGCTTTCGTGGAAGAATGATCGACTCCTCGTAGTGAAAGGTTCCTTTGTGAGGGGGTTGCCAATCTTCTCACAAAAGGCGGCAACAAGACCCCCCTCCTTCAACTGGCCAAAGTGTCTTGACTGGAGAAGGATGTCATCCAAGCCCTAAAGCTACTGGAGCAAGAGGCAGGCCCTGCACAGCACAGCCAAGATTGAAGAAACCACAACTAGGTCCTCCAGTAGAGAGGTTAGAATAAGGGTATCCTTTTCTCTGTGCTGGTTAACAAGTTTCTATCAAGTTGACAAAGTCCAAAGTCACGCGAAAGAACAGTTACCACAATCCCTGAATGGAGGGCAGGGATCCTGAAGAGAAGGAACCTTCTCCAACCTTCTTGGGTGTTTGTTCGTCCCCAGATCGCTGAGCTCATTAGACTTTGCCCCATGAAACAAGTCACAATCAAAACTCGGTATGTTGGTCTGCCCGAAATCCAGTGAATAATTGGAAATAAGTAAAGGGCGGATGTCCGCACCCATTTGCGTGTAAATTCAAATAGCGGACCCCTGGGTGGACATCAAACAATTGATGATTTTTTATGTCTACCACCGCTTTTGAGTTGTGTCCCTGTGAAATGTCATAGAAACTGTCGCTTAACCCCCTTTTGTGTAAGTGCGCCGGAAAAATAGAAACACACATATTTGCAGTCGTAGATTGCCTTTAAAACTTGCGGGGGAAAACTAAACACATGTCTTAACAGCAAATGAAATGGAAGTTACCGTCTTTTGGTTTGCTTTCGTGTGCACATGGTGCATATCCATGAACGTCGGCCTCCTCGCCGGGATTCAGCTGGAAGGGCCCCTCGATGCTCTCCATGTTTACCCGCTCGGAGACCTGCACGCGGTTATTCAATATGAGCATATCCCCCCTACCTGAGGGGGGAGGGAGTAGGGGGTCCCCCGATTCCATTTATCTAGTCTTCCCCATGAAGGGAAAAATGGAACAACAAATGCAATTCCAGGGGTCACCCCTAAGGGGGGCGGGGATATGGATATGAGCATGTCACAAAAGGGGGACCCTGAAATGGAATTTTCTCATGTGGCTGTGGGTCAAAAATGGGTACCCAAAATGGCTTGCCCTGGTAGATGGAACCCACGACTAAAACAGGCGGTCCCCTGGTGGTTTAATTTTGACCCACACCCATGGGGGGGTTGATCAAAAGGTCCTTTACATGAGGTGACCGCCAAAGGAGATGACTTTCACCACGCAATGGGAAAAGTTGGCCATGTGGTTCAGGGTGCTTCACCAAAAACATGATTGTTGTGGGGGGGGCGAGACAAAAACACAACTCACAAAACCAGACGAAAAACCCATGCAGGAGGTCCTACTGATGCTACTTGCCACCACGATATTCATAATGCTGAGCGGCGATTTTATTGACTCGACATTAACAATCTGACTTGCGCTTGGCTTGAGCCAATGTCACCCCAACCGTAGCACGAATATGCAGCTTTGTTACCCGGGTTATGAACAAGCAAGTCATTGGCGTCACATCTCTGTGAAGAGCTTTGCCCCCCAGCAAAAGCGACCCATACCGCAATGGTCCTAGCACTACAGCTGCACAGCCCGCCGCGCTTGGCTCGCTGGTCTTGATCAGCACAAGTAGCGTGCGTATGCCACACGTGTTGTATCATTCGGCAAAGCGAGCTTCCAACCAACGGAACGTATCATAAAGCACACATCTGCAAACTTCCTTGATCAGACTTAGACCCCCCTGCAGGCTGAAACAGCTTGCTGCTTGAAACCTAAAAAAACGACTCCGACAAGGCAAGTTAAACAAAGGGCCAGCCTTTCGTCTGGAAAATGTTTGTAGCTTCGTCCTAAATTTAGTTCCCCTACACTTTACGCGCTGAGAGCTTTGCACCAGCACCAGCGCTACTGGGCTCAGAGGCTCAGAGGCTCAGAGCTGAAAGCCGCGGCATGCGCGGCCCAGGGAATCCACCTGCGGATGCTGAAAAGCGGTGGGTGTCAGGTCCGATTGGCGGGGCGCAGCATGGTACCCCCTTTCTGTGGGTCGTTTTTAAGGGAAACCAAGAGGAACATCACCCATCTTGGTGACCGACAAAATGACACACCTACATAAATATGATTGTGGATGGGCCTTTTGGACAGCTTTTGGGGATTTATGCCCAACCAGTAGAGCCACTGACATCTTGGGCAAGTTTGTAGGTGGGCGGGGTGCGCGGCTTGCATTGCAGAACAAGCCAATCGCAGACTCAGGAAGTTTAAAGGAAACATCACGCATGTACTTTCGTTGGGACACCAATCATGAATGAACGAATGGCAACCAAACCATGGTGCGGATTTATTTCGGGATGGTTCCCCCCCCCCCCTTTTTTTGGTCTTGGCCGATAAAATGCTTTATTTTACAGCATTTTCTCGCGAAATTGGTGTATTTTACACTAGCCTGTCAAACATCCCCAGCCTCCTTTTCAGCATCCCCCGCGTGTCCCACCAACATCCGCAGCATCACCAACAAATCGTGGGTAAAAATAATAGAAAAGTAGCAGGCGGGTTCAATAGGGCTGCAATTCAAGCCCTGTAGAAAATCCCCCCTATGCATGATGTTCGAAGAAGTGATAGTGGGAATCCAGAGGATGCGAAAAGCCCAAAAGCCGCATAAACCAACAAGAAGCCGAAAAGCCAAGAAGCCCAGATGCCAAAAGCGAGACAAAAATCTCGAAAAAACAATGGGAACCAATCCAAAAAAACTAAACTGGCAACATCCAAAGCACACGCACGGAGTCAAGAAGATCGCGCCTCGGTATGGATGCAGAAAAGAACGTGTGTCTAAGCCAGTTTCCAATGAAGAACACACGTCTGATTTCATGCTTGTGCAATCCTGCCACAACGTGTGTGTGAATAAGTACCGCAAAATGCATGGTAAAGAGCAATGTCGCGTTCAGGAACCAATTGGTTCAGGACAGACACATTTCTTTGGGAGCACACAATTGCCACTCTTCCATGATACGCATCCCAACTCTTGATGGCTGTGACCCCCTGCCCAAGTCGATGTGTTGGAATTTGTGGGGGAAACGGTCATCCAAAGAAAAGTGACAAAGATTCCAGCAAAAGAAACATGAGTTATCTTCCAATGCAAAGTGAAAAAGATCCTTCTGCCTGCAAGGAGGAAATGAAGACATCGGTTTTGCACAACTAAGCCTAGGCACCGGCAAAACGTCAAAGCCAATGCAAGCGATGGACAATTTCCGCAGTGTCCCAAAAACAGCAACCCAAATAAAACAAGGGATCCCCACAACATGGTGGTTCTCCAAAAACAATGAGAACAAACTCCAAAAACGACACACCCAAATGCAATTTAATGCGAGTTTAGGATTGGCATTTGATCCTTTCGCACCAGAGGCTCCCAAATGCTTGAAAAGACCGACTCACACACAAAGCTGATGCTGCCCCGTCTGACACACACACACACACACCCGCTTGGCATAGCGGCCCTGTTTCGTGCCCGCTTTGCAAAGCTAGTGTATGGAATGGAGGCCGACAAAGCACAAAGCGATCAAGACTTGCAAGGGGCAGGTGTGCAATGCCTCAGGGCCTGCGTGCAACATGTTTCTAGCAAACATGGCACCAACTTGCCCAAAGGACCTATACGACGCGCATTCCACATTGCTGATTGCTGTCTTGAAAAGGCTTAGAGCCCAAAATTGCCCAATTGGAGGCATGAGAGCCCAAACTGCGTACGGAAGACCCTTAAACCAGGCGAACGAGCGACTCAGGTTGGACAAGGCCTGCTTCTTGAGCCCGGCGATCTCAACTTGACAGCTCCTGCAGCGAATGCTTTTGGTGCAGGACACACGCCATTTCGCGAGACCGATCTCTAATTAAAGAAACACGTTATTGCTCTGCTTAAGCTGATTCGCACATCTGGGCCCATTTAGTGGTGCAGTCCAAGCATCAATTCAAACATGTCCCCGATGATTTAGAAGCACGATATAACTTAAACCGCTGGTCATCACAATGACCTCTTCCTGAGGAAAACAGTGCGACTGCGTGTGCGTGCATGGATGGGTGGGTGGGTCTGTGTGTGTGTGTGTGTGGGTGGGTAGGTCTGTGTCTGGATTATGTGGGCGGGCTTGGAAGTCATGTTGCCCGGTCGTATTCCCCTCCGGTTGTCCAGACCAATCCGCCCAATCCACCTCCGTCCTCAAGTCCGGTGCCTTGGAGGCATCCGGATCCTGCACTCAGCCATTCGGACGTTCAACTGGGTAAGCTGATCATAGCCGGAGTTCAGTAGGGTAAAAAGGGTTCATCTGGATATAACTTGCATAATGTTCGGATTCATCCGGAGGATCATACTAAACGGGGGTGGTTCCCCTGCCTCATTTTATGTTGGGAGGGGTTCTCCGCCTAGTAGGGTCCTCCGGACAAATCTGAAGTTGAAGCTACCATAGCTATGCTTGGGACAAAAGGGGGTTGGCTGCCTTGCAAACATGGTGATAATGACAAGCTAATAAGTAAGCTGAACATCCAAGGCTCAAGGCCTGCGGCCACGGCACCTGCCATGCTCAAAACTCCGAATCCTGGCCTCTGGCCCTCTGCAACAAGCCAAATCGGATCCCAAATCACCAATCATGATAATGGTCACCGAGGGCTCGAACGTGGCTCACTGGGGTACTCTGAAAATCATACAGGATTGAAATTGGTGTGCTATTTGGTCAACCCTAAACATAGCTTTGGACCCCAGAAACCAAAACAAAAACTTGAAACCAGTGCCCCCGCCCGTCCCACCATCCCACCGTCGCACCGCTCACCTCCCGAAGCTTTCCGCCACAGTGGCGGCAAAACACCGCCTCAGTCGGCTGGGGTCCTGGACCTGCGGAAAACCCAAAAGTTCCACGGGGAAAAGTCCTCGGGAAGATTGCTGCGAAATCGGCGGGGAATGAGAATTGGAATGAGCCGGTTTTGGGAAATCCCGAAAGGAAACCACGAGTTGGATGGCTTTTAGAGGACGAAAGCCGGCGGGATAAGTCCACTCTGAACCCTAGCCAAAGGACACCCATGTTGGCTCTTCTGGCGGGTGAAAAAGGAAACTCGAGCGAAAAGCCCAAGTGAGGCTGCGAGGCCAACAAAAAATATTTTGCAGAGAAGCCAATGCCAAGGTCCTGCAACTGTGATCACGGTGGCTTCCTGTGGTAGCGGCACCAACACCATGGCGCAAGGGACCAACATGGAGCATCACACACGCAGGCAGCAGGGAAGAAGAAAGGGCATGAGGTGAATCATCCCACAGTTAGGCAAGGTTTCAGCCAAGCCCAGCAACTGAAAATTAGCCAACTGAATTGATGCGCCACCTGAAAGAGGCGGTGACGTACATGACGAAAATGCTGGGTCGAAAAGTGCTGATTGGGGATCTGCATATTACGCTCATTGAGCTGGACAAGAATGGCCACAACTGCAGCTCAAATTAATGTTTTCACTCATGTTCCGCTCCAAGTCCGAAACAAGTAAAATCATCCTTTGAGCCCAAACCTGTGTTCACCTGGAGGTTCCAGCTTTCCCCATTTTGTAGACTGATCGGTGCAGCGGAAGAACCTGGCTGAGGAAAACATAGCGGATGCAACGTGCTGTTGGTAATCTTGCTGGAGCTCATTAGGAAATGAGGGAATGAACCTGGGGATTCCCTGAAAGGAAACCACCAAAAATGGTTTACAGGGCGTCATTCCCTCATTCCCTGCCAATTGCACCAGCAAGTAATTGGATCCAGTGGGTATAATTGGTCCTTGACACATCTTCTACGATAGCAGATGCAGCTCAGCCACGTCGGCAAAGATCTTCTGGTGGCAAAAGGGGCAGGAAGCGTCCTGGATGTGCACGTGCCAGTCCGACTCTCAATCTCTTCACCACATCAAATCAATCGATTGACATGGTTGCTGAAATGTCAGCAGCAACTTGCGCAAGCGCCATAAGGCAAACATGAAATTTGCCTACGCCGCAACCTAAATATTGTAATTCTTCATCGAACACTTGCAACACACAACAGGATTGCGCCAACAAACTCTTCAGGGCATGACAGTTTGCCATAACCTCAACAATGGATGGCCAAGAGAAAAAAACAAAAACAATGTCAAGCATCCGTTGCTCGTTTTTTGCTATTGCTCGGGAGACAGGGCGCCGACGCCAGGTCCTCTGCTGGCGTGGCATGCCTGATCCGAAGCTTCGGATCACGAGCCGCTCACGTGAAGCTGTTGGTGTGCCATAGAAACCACTTGGTGTCTGGGGAGTCTAGGCATTTGCCTCAACTGCGAAATGCTGTTGTTTACCTTCTACAGTGACTTCCCTGAAATTGTTGGAAAGGCAATGTGTTCAAAGGCTTTTGGACTCAAACTTTGAGAAAGTCACGGATCAGTACATGCCACGTGCTTATTTCTACCCAAGCGCATCTATGATGCCCGAAGCACACGCGAGCAAGCCTTGCATCAAGGATAAACTCCGCTCGCCAGAATCCTCCACGCAATCTAAGGTCCAATCTGACAAAGCAACCACAGCTTTTGCAGCGTACATGCTGCACCATGCATGCCACCAGTAAAGCTGCAAACCCGCCTGCATGTCTATGTGTGGTGGAGTGTTCTGCCTTTCCCAGGCATAGTTGCAAGACATGACAGTCGTTGAATTGCGCACGAAACGAGGCCATGCAAATATCAAAGCTGTATCTCAATGAGTTGTGTGTATCACAAATCACAAATGGGCACCTCAGCCAATGGGCAACACACACCCAACAAGCAGATCTGGTGAACCACCACCAGAAGGGCCAATACCCCTTTGAGGACTTGAAAAGGGGATCGTAAACCTAGAGGAAGCCAACATAAGCCAACCATTTGTGGCGGTCCCGGATTTTGAGACAAATAGAAACGCACAAAAATGGGCTTTGGCGATCCTTCTGATTTCCCTTTAGACCAGCCTGAAAAGCAGTTCCCCCCAGAAGAGAAAATGAACCCCTGAAACAAAATGGTGTTTTTTTTGTTTGGTTCGGTACACCCCAAGCACCACACCCATCTCACGTGCAGCAAGCAACAACAGCCGTGCCGATCATTGGGCCTCTTCGCCAGCATCGCCGCCTGTGTTTGAGATACGGGTCTCACCTCGGACGGTCGGTGAGGCGTGGAGGCGGAGCGTGGCATGCCCGTGTTTCACGCTTTTCGAGGCACCCTCAGCAGTTTGGAGAACAAAAGTACCTCTGTGTTTCCCCAGTTTTGGGAAGGTCCCTTTTTTGGTAAGTCTCCACTCCGCCCTGACCGTCAAAAGATTAGAAGCGATGCAACTCGCGGATATCTGTTTGGTGGTGTACCTTCCTTGCGATCCAACATTACCATTTGTTTTGGAGGGCCCTCCTTTTTGGAGAGAAGCAAACGTGTGTGCCTGCAATTTGTCGCAAGCCTATTCCAATCACTTCACAAGTCACTGCTTTGTCATGAAGGGCTGTTCATCATGCCGTCGGTTTTTCCACCAGAACCATCGCATTCAGCGTCTGATCAGCAAAATCTGAGAGTCTCGTCCAGTCAGGAACCCAAATCCGCCCGAAGCAACTTGGAACAAACCTAAAGGCAAATGGGTGTGCCAATAGTAGGGGACCCCGAAAGCAGTGGTTGTTGATTTTTTTGGGAGTCCCTAACATAAGTCTCAAAGAGCGCGCCGCATGCACACAGCCATACCTGAGGCTACGGCAACAATGCTCATGCCCGGAGCAGCCTCGGCATCGAGATCGAGCTCTGGCTTGGTGTCAAGTTAGTTATCCGTTTAGCTTCCGTAACCAAGCTGAAACGGGTACCGCAACAGAAACAGTCCGAAGTTCAACCACAAACACTCCCTAAATTGCCTAGCCAGGCAATGCCCAAAACCCGAGCAAAGAACTAAGCCTACCTGGATGACCCTCTAAACATGAAGTCGTATCCCCTTGTTTGGTAGGCCCCATTCTGAAATAGGTAACTCGTTTCCTTGCCGCTGATCCCCCCCCCCTCACCCCACTCCAGGCCTTGGCCACTGCCTGCGCTGCAGCTTGCGCCATGGCATCCACCTCAGTCGGACCGGAACCGCGCGAGTGAGCCCGGCCGGAATCCGCAAAGTCCGGCCGGCGTCGTTTTTTTGCGGATTGGCCAAAACAGGTTGGCAGATTTCCCCCATTCGGGTGCTTCGCATGCCTTCTCATTAAATAGCACTTGGTCCAACTGATATGGTGGGTGTCCTTACGTGTGTTCTTTACCGACCAAACGGGGTTCCAGACCATTTCGAGAGAGTCCCATGTTATTTTGGCTTAATCATCCCCTTTACTTGCGCACATAGAGGGAATTGCACCATCTACTTTGATCCGGAGTAAGCTGGCCATATTCAATCGAGGCATCTTGTATTATCCGCCTGAACATTCCCCCTAAAATGGTGGCGTCCTTTCAGTCTTGTGGCAAGGTTGATGTATTAAGTGGCCAAATTGTATCTTTTCAGAAGTGCTTTTTGGGTGGAATCCCTGCTGCGTTCTGATTGAAGTCAGCATGTCCACAATTCCTGTTTGCCACAGCTCAAAAAGCAGTCTGACCATGGCAGGCATCACGAAATGGCAATCAGCACAATCAAAAAACAATCCTAGGCGCTCTCAACCTTCTAACTTAAATGACAATCCGCACAAGCGAACCATCTTAGGTCCTCAGCTTACATCCTCCCTAACTTTCGCTTGCTAAAGGGAGCTATGGATGCTGATAGGGACCGGGCAAACACACATTCGCATCTAGCACAAACGTACGGTTTGCAAATCCATGCCGGCGGGTCTTAAAATAGAGGACCCCTCGGTTCTCTAGCCCCACAAGGAAACCAACGATCAAGAGACTCCCCCCATGTTTAGGGCCTATTTTGAGAAACACGCATGGCAACCTTGACTGGTTCAAAACCATGTCCCGAACTGCAGGTCCTTTGGCCATGTCCCGAACCGGCGAAGCGCGATGCAAGCTCCGGGGTATAACATGTCGCGCTGTGTTGCAGTGGTGCGTGTCAAAGCTCGTCAACTCTTTCCGTGACGTCTCGAAGTTCCGAAGGAGGAGTACCATGAACCGGTTCTTCCCCGTCACCGTGGGGGCGCCTTCAAAAGGGAGCATGAACTCGCCCATTCAAAGGAGGCACTTGTTGATAGATACGGTCAAAATGTCTCTTTCCGCCACGAGGACGTGGGCAAGTTAGTTCTTCGGTTTGGGAAACTCGGTGAATTCCCCCAAAGTCGTGAGTGAGTGAGTGAGTGAGTGAGAGTGTGAGCGAGCGAGTGAGTGAGGGAGGGATGGACCCTATCCGAACACTCTTTATGGACCGAGCCTCACGGTGTCCAGCCTCGTTCGTGAATCGCGGGGTCGAAACAGCGGTGACGGCTGGAGAGGCCTGAATCCGACCGTCTGCGACGGCGCGGGGGCACGGCTTCAGCGTGAAATGCTGTGAATTGCTCGTTTGTGAGTGAATTAAGAATATATATGAACGAACTCAATTTAACAACAGCTAGTTGAACTCAAACAGGCAAATGTCAAAAGTGGTAGCTGCAATGAAGGGACTCGTTGCCCTCACCGTGGATGTGCATGCTCCAGTTCCAACGATCTCTGCAGCAACACCAGAGACCACTCCTAGCCTGGATGTACTGAAATACCTAGCTGTCCTTCACGCAAATGGGGTTCTGGTTCTGACACCACGAGTCAGCTTCATTCTCCGAGTGCCAGATATCAACCGATGGCCCAACTGCTCCTGAACCATGGATCCCCCAGGGAGGGCTGTGGGGTATGCCTCATTGACCCCTTGATAAGGCCTTACTTAGGGCTTATCCTTGGCTTCTCCTTGGCTCATCCAGGGATAGCCCATGATAGCCCCCACCCCCCTCCACAGCCGCCTAGGGGTCCATGACTGAATGACTTTAGACCAATCATTGGGGTATGTATTTTATGTATGCATGCATGTATGCATGTATATGTATGTATATATATATATCTCTCTCTCTCTTCCCTAACCCTTGCTGTGGATTTTCCAGTGCTTCCGGGCCAGCCACTAAAGTCAACCAGGCATCCTTACCTCTAGGTGCGTTTTCCGGATTCCCCTGGCTACCTCCAAGGTTTGGATGTTTGGATGTTATATTATTGTTGGTATTTGATGTTATTTTGCTTGGATGAGTGGTGACTGGAAGGTTTGGATGTTATGTGATCTCAACCCTTGAGGGAATCACCAGAGGTTCCACAAACCGGGCTCCAAACCACCCGAGGCGGCACGGATGGCACTGGCGGTGTGGCTCGGGCTGCCTTGGTTTGCTCGAAGAGTCTGGGCCGAGGTATTTTTGTTTTGGGGTTTTGAAAGGGAAACCAAAAGCTTTCAAAGGAAAGTCCATTTTGGGGGATCCCCCCCAAAACATACGTACCCATGTGCCAAAGAAAAAAAGGGGGGAATCCGTGCCTTGGACACCCAAAGTTGGCTTGTTTTAGGCTTTGAGTCTGCAAAATGGACAAGTGTCCATCGCACAGGGGAGCCCCCCGAAAACGGGCTTCGATGCCAAATGCTGATTGAATGGTGCCTGTAGAGAAACCAAAGGAGCCACTTCCCAACTTTGGGGACTCTTAACCAAAGTCAGAAAGGAATGTCAAACCCTGTTTGGGGATCTCCAAAATGGAGGTTGTCCTTTTATAACCAGAAGCCAGTTCCCCCAGAAAGACACAAAAGAAATGGTTGCTTGGTTGCACAAGGCTGGTCGTTGATGCTTGGTCTTGCCTACCACAAGGAACCCCCGCTTGGGCTTGCCATAGTGCCCTCTCCATGGTATGCTTATGTTTGCATACACATCTTTGTTAAATAAATATATATGCTTGAAGCTCCAAGTAAATATACTATCATGCACATAGTACGTACACATTTCATCTGTTCCTGGCTCAGCCGACATGACAGATTGACCCTCATGTCGGACCCCCACCCACCCCCTTTGGGTTTCTGCGGGGGTTAAAAGAGTCATATACGAGCTTTTCTGAAATAACTGTTCACTCAGCTTCAGCAAAGAGTAAAACTTCAAACCACTGCCAACATAGCGTATAAATCGTGCAGTTGTTGCACCACATGGTCGGGCGGCACAACCTGCCATAATTCACGTAGCACTTCTTAACGAATCTCACGCAATTTTGCTGCGGGCATGTTTGTCAGCATTACTCCATTGCAAATGAACCTTGCCCTTAAAAGTCTAGCAAAACCAAACATCCTGCAAAATACAAAATGCTTTTAGTGTTCCTTGTCTAAGACCTGCAGAAAGCACAAGCTATAGAAGTTGGTTTTGGACGCCGCCATGCCCCTGAGCCAGGCACGAATGGCTCCTCTGGCGGCCGAAGGTTTACGGAGGCGCCATGAGGATTCGGGCTCGATGAATGAGACCTGGCAAAAGCTGGTAGCGGGTGATTTTGTCCAAACCACCAGGCTGGCTGGTGCTCAGCAGGGAATGAAGGAATGAACCTTGGAGATTCCCTTAAATGAAACCACAAGGGATGGTTTTTAGGGGTCATTCCGTCATTCCCTGCTGAGCACCAGCAAGGAAAGGAGATGCGAATCACAAGAAGGGATCCCCAAATTATCCCATGGACGGCGGGGAAAACGAGTAGATGACGAATAGAACTCTCCCGAACAAGGAAGCACAAATATTTCCGACCTAGCCTATGGCGTGCCAGCGGATCTTTACCCAAGCACCATTGCCATCTGCTGGAGAAGACAAAGTTACCAAATGACCATCAGCAAATAGGGGTGTCTTACTCAATTCCAGTGCCAGTGGTGGCAGCCTTATGACACCATATGCTTTTGTCTACCATGCAGGTGGGTGAAAAATCGGGTAACCCCAAAACGCTAGGTCCTCCAGTAGAGAGGTTAGAATAAGGCTACCAACTTCTTTAATGTAGTCTGTTTTAGTAGGGGAACCCTCCCCAAAAAAGGGGAGAGAAGGGCTCTACTGGGGGACCTAGAACGGGCTGCCAAATGGAAAGGACGAAAACCTGAGCGCGCGCCTGGCGCTCTGCACCTGAGCCGTGTAGCTGGGCGTAGCCTGGCGATACGAAAGAAGGTCCGGAAGGCGTCGGTTGTTTTCTTGGGTGACATGGAACCTAGCTTCACTTGAGTCATAATCAAAACCCGGTATTCAAATGGTCTACCCAGAACCACGTAAAGAATTAAGAAGGCGGCCGCAGCTATTTATGGTTGGAACTGTCCCTCACTAACCTTCACCTACCCGGGTTTTGATAGTGGCTCACTTGCCCAAAGGACCTGGAAATAGAAGGTTCACCTTTTGCGACCTCTAAAAATGGACCAAGAAGGTAAAGCCGAGAGGTCAAAAGGTCGATTCGCTTACAACTGAGTGACCGAAGGGTCCTGGTTTGGATCAGTTGGGACCTCCTGTCAGGCTCCACGAGTTCAAAGACCACAGAAGGAATTTGTCTGGTCTTCTCCAAGGTCCTCCAGTAGAGAGGATAGAATAAGGCTACCAACCTTTTTGCTGTCTGTTTTAGTAGGGGAACCCTCCCCAAATAAAGGATCGGTAAAAAAGGGCACCTAGCTGGGATACCTAGTATCAGTGTAACTAGTGATCTGTGTCTCCTGGAGCTTGCTTCTCACATCGCTCCAACGAAAGCCACCGTCCGGTTAAGCAAATGGTAACCCGCCCGGGTACTCAGGCCGCCAAATCGTAGTGTTGGGGACTGTGACTTACGGATAAGGGGTAACACATCACATTGGGTCATGTGGTGCTCTACCTTCTGAGCATGGAAGTGGACAAGGACCCGCAAGTTGCCCAACCCGTACGGACCGGGCCAAATGATTCCCTGGCCTTGACTTTCATTTTGCCTTGTCCACATCACACGATTGTCAACTCTGCGTGGCCCGGCAGGTAGCTTCAGTCCACATCTCACAGTTTTGCAAAACTTGCCCCTGAAGAGGTGCGAGTACAACATGTCCAAGTTGACTTTCAAATCCGAATCTCTGCCAGCTGTTTTCCCAGCAACACGCTACGAGGACGCGTTCTCGTATGTTCTGGTGACTTTACCAGGGTAATGATTTACCAATACAACGGTGTCACACATCTTGTGAAGCATTCAGCTGTTCAGCAGTAGCAAAAAGCCCAACCTCGGATTAGCAAGTCCCACTCCAGCTAAAATAAAGAGCCACAAGCTTACAAGGGCAAATGTCAAAATAGGGTTTGACGGATTTACGCACCACACACACACACACCAATATGCTTGCAGTGTTCCTTGATCCGCCCAAAGCCTGGTATGACCTCGGTGTCGGCACAAGCACCGGCTGCACATAGCGCGGCGGAGCAACCTACAGGTCGCTTGGCACGCGACTTCCGCTTGCGCTTTTGTGCTGAACAAAAAAACATTTGCTTTAGCCGCCTGGAAAACATAGAGTAGTCATAGATGTCCTTTAAAACCAACAAGGGACAATGTGAAATATCCTTAAGCTAATGGAATAATTGCAATCCTTGCAGGTGTATCGAAAACGATCCTCTTGAAAAGGCCAGTTGTCCACGTAAAATTGCTTGACTCGCGGGCTCGTGCTGGTTGATTTATCGGTCACCTGTTAGTCTTCAGCTCCCACCACTTGTGAGTATCCCTAGAGTCACTATATGGCTACTACATATATATGCCCCGCATTCCCCTCGAGGCAGTGGTTTGGGGTTAGTAAAAGTCACCTCAAAAGGCACATGCCATTTTGGTGTGGGTCAAAATTAGACCAACAGGGGACCGCAGATTTTGGTGAAATGTTTCCACTTCCCAGGGCTTGCGCCATTTTGGGGTTACCCTTTTTTGACCCACAGCCACTTTTCGTCGCTTGCACCTGGACTCGCGGCGTGGCGGGATTGGAGCGGCCTGGCCAAATGCCGTGAGCTTCGCTCCCCAGGCGTGGTCAACGGCTTAGTTTCCTCCAGCCCAAACCGAGCAGCAAAACAAACAAAACAGAAACGCGGAACTGCAGAACCAAAAAAAAAGAGAAAACAAACAAGGAACAGAGCCCACAATAACGAAGGTTGACAACCCCATTTTTTTTGTACATGAAGTTCTTGTCACCAGTACAAGCAGCACATTGCATTTGCAGATCTTGGCATTTGTCCAGCGTCAGAGCTGCTGTACGACTAGCCAACTTCCCGCAGTCTCTACTACATGCCATTCAGAGGGCCAAACGATTGCTGACAAGGCCTCCCTCAAACCACAACCTTTGGCCATGCCACGAAGGCCGTGATTCCCATGAAGTGGCCTAAAGGCTAACACATGCCATATGTGCCACCTGAACGAACTTGCACTCAAGCAAGGCGAACAACAAACATGCGTTAGCCCTTAGCTGATGCTGAGTCAATACCAGTACCTGCACGTGATCATATATGAGTGCCCTGGGTTCCACACGCAGCACAACCTTGTTGAATGGTAAAGTGGCGTGTCACAGCAGCTCGATTCCATAAAAGCAACACGGACAAAACGATTGAGGACGGGCTCTTTCTTACACTCGTTGCAGTCCGCACCTTTTTTTACGATGCATTGATCTCATGGCGTCCATCACCAGTCTAGCAACCCGCGAAACCCGTTGCAAAAGCTGTCAAACCTCTTAGGCCGCCTTTGGGGCCAAAGCCGGGCAGCGCAAAATGCGCGGTGAGACTGTGCTCGCCTCTTCGCAAGGTTTTCTCGACGGCAAAATTGTTCGACGGTAAGAGGTATATATTCCCATCTCTCTCTCTCTCTCTAATATATATATATATGCATACGTGTATACATATATATATATAACACCCACAATTTCCCATATAATATATAAATAATATATACACCCACACAAAGACATACCAACCACAGATTGGTGCCTGTCTAGCGGTGCAACACCTGACTAAAGCTGCCCAAAGGCCTCCGAACGGAAGGCATTCCTGAAAAACCCTCAATGAAATCAAAGATCGACAGGCAATGCCGAAGCCGCTTTGGTTGGTATTTGAAGGGATAAAGCCAACCCACTGCTACCTTGCAGGACCGCTACTTTGAGAAACTCGGGGTCAAAAGGTGGGTTCCAGCTTATGCAGAGTCTCCCAACACGCGTGCCGTGGGCACGGGAGACGGTCATGTGGGACAGACCAACTATGCCCGCGATGAATCCAACACCAATTCCTTTGCAGCAACAGCTCTGGGCGAATCAAGGCTGAGACATGGACGCCGAACCGAAAGAGGACCCGGACACTGTGGCACTTGGTCGCATCACCTTCTCCAGAAAAGCAAACGCCGCAGAGTCGCCTGTCCGCCACACATCTTGCGAAGAGCGCAACAGCACAAACACATTGCGTGGTTGAAGGAGGAAGCGGCGACGCGGTCACCGAATCCACGTGTAGCAGGAGCAAGCAGTTGAGGTGCCTAAGCATCGCACTGGAGAAACGAAACAGACCCGTCGATGTTAGGCCAAGCAAAAAGTCGTTCTTTGCCACAGATCAACGCTTTGATCAGTTTGCACCTCGTGGCTACATGTAGGTTTGCCAGAAGGCTCCTCCAACTTGTTCAATTGGCATTCCAGGCTCCCATCTTGACATCACACAGACTCCATCAAATACAACAGCTTCAACAGCCCCCTGAATACATTCCGGCAGGCCCCTTCCTGCTTCAGCCTCTCAACATCTATTGCCAAGGAGTCTGGCAAGGCTTCAGCTAAGACCTTGAGAGTGGAGCTTTCTGAAAAGTGGGAGTCTGATTCTGGGAGACAACAATCCTGAGGCACCGCCGATTACACGTACAGCCTTTTGTGCATGTAACAAGCGCACCTCGATTTGCTTGGTGCCTCATCTGCCTAGCGCCTCTCTCAGTCTTTCGTCGTCTTCTTCATCTTGGACACCGGCACGCCAGACCTGGAGCTGCCGCTAACGGGAGGTTGTTCAGAACCAAGACCGCGGATAAAAAGAACCGTCCTACTGTGGACGGACGAAATCCTGCACCACCTAAATAAACCATGGGAAGCCATTGTTTGTTGGCATTTACATTGGAATCATCATTCCAGGGTTTCTTAGATGCTGCAGGATTTCGTCCATCCAAAGTATTGAAAGGTGCTCCCTCCAAAAGTGGTCTGAATCCCCACTAAAGGGGATTGCTTGCATTCATCAACCAGGGGTCTGTTGCAGCGATGAATCCCCACTAAGCGGATCAACCAGGGGTTTATGAATGGTCAACATGGAAAATTTGCCATACGCGGGGATAGCCAAAGCCGCCCCACCGCCCCGGCTCCAATTGGCCGGATTCCGGACAAACTGATCCAGCAACGAGAAACTGTCATAGGCCCAAGCCAGGGAAACGGAACTGGTCGAAGCTGGTATGGCACATCCTTCCGGTCATCTCACAGTGAGCTCATTCACCTAGATCCTCTTGAACCTTTGCGCTCTCTCCAGGCATAGCCCTCTGAAGAAACAGGCGGAGCAACTTCGCCCTGCTTGTCCTTCCATGCATGATCGCCAAACTGGAACATATGCGGATACGTCAATAGATCAAGCTTGAGCAAGGTATATATATGTATATATATATATATATATTGTTCTCTGCATATTTACCTAAAAAGGGGTTGCAGAAAAAGATACTCTTCTCAACACGAGGGTTCTTGGACTCCACCCTCAGAGTAAATCCAATTCTCAATTTGCCTCCATTTGAGGCTTTCGGAGAGAAACCATCCATGTGCATTGACTTGATTTGCAAGGACGCAAGGGGAGCCGAATAAGATGGCCCTCCAAAGCCTCAAATGTTTCTCAAAGTATGGCTTCCTCTGGGTTTCCCCTTTCGGCTTCCCTTCGTAAATAGTGGCTGTTCCTTCATGAACTTCACAAGGACCTTTTTTTCACTCCCAAATTCCAACACACACTTTCTGTCCCAATGGCTCCTGGGGTGAACCCCCCTTTCGGCTTGTGCCCGTGTCTCACGTCTTGCGACAACTTCTTTTCCATGCCCAGCCGCATGGTTTCTATTCTGCCCTCCGTGGGGTCGAAGTACTTGATCTCGCACTTCCCGTCTTTCTCCTGGCATCCGACGCGGAACCAACCTGCGGTGAATGAGCGGAGTGACTCCGAAACGCCCCACCTGGTGGTAGGGGCACAGGATTTATGTGGAGGGGCAAACCTGGATTTGAGGCCTTCTGTGGCAGTTTCCAAGGGAGTACAACGGCAAAGGGACCAAAAGCTCACGCTGCCTAAAACCATTCGCACCAATCTGACAAGAACACAACATCACAAAGCAGAACACCTTTCTGAACTCTAGCTCGCACGGGAGTGGTCCACGTGTCATCACTTGTCCATGTGTCCAAAAATGAAATGGGGACCCAGGAAACAACACTGAACACCTGAGACCTGGAATTTTTCAGGATCAACATCATCACTGCTAAGCCACACCACAGTTGGTTCCTACACAAGCGATAGAGCTTCTTGTAGGATAGACCCATAAAACACACACACACACACATGGACATCAAGGTCAAGTATAGTTGAACCGGCTGTCAAACTGACACCAAGCCTCCATCAGCAGAAGTTGCGCGCTTACTTGCAACAAGTCATTTGCCCCGTCTCTTTGAGCTCTCCGTGGTGCAGGAGCTTGGATTGCGATGACCCATCAATATCCTATAGCATGGCTTTAAATGTCTGCTCCAAAAAACTTAACACGCATCATTCCTACACTCCCCTACCTCATCCCAAAGCAAAACAGGGCCTAGGATCGTGAACGTGAACTTCCAGAAGTCAAGCAGGATGGAACCAAATGTCTCAAGCCCCAAGCACGCATTGTGGAACCCAACCCTGGTGCATCCCAGAGGCATAAGAGCTTGAGACGGCCTCTAATTGCTGCCATTTTGAATTTCACCCTTCCTGGCAATGGTTGTGGAACAGAACCTTTCGGTGATCCGACTTTGTCACCTAGTACATTGGCATCACCCTCGGCAATGAAGTACTCAAAACCAGTTTCCCAAATTGGCTGGTGATTGGAAACGTCCATTTTGCTCGTTTGTAAGTGGGTGTGGCTCACAATTAAACAGCTAGGGCTACGCAGGTTTTAGTCTTTGGTTTCATTCACCAAGGTACCATGTTGGTACTTTTTTTTGAGCCACAGTCAAATGATGTCCACCAAAGGGTTCTTAGTCAAAATGGCATTTGTGTGCAAACAAAATTCTGCACCACTTTGAAGCCATGGGAAACCATTTGCTTTTGGTATTGACAGGGGAATCATTATTCTAGGACTTCTTTGCTGGTGCGAACTGATTTTGTCCACCTATGTCCACCCACAGTATGAAAATAGTGCTCCCTCCAAAAGTGGTCTGAATCCCCACCAAAAGGGGGTTGCTCGCCCTATTCATCCACCAGGCATCTGTTTTTCTGGTGCCTCCAGGTGACTTAAAAAGGACACCTCCGGTCATCCCTGGCATCGTTCGCTCGTCCCAAAGCCATCGCCTTCAGCACTGTGGCCAGCACCGACCCGTGGATGCCATCGACGCCCTCGCCGCGATAGTTCGCGCAGCGGTGCGCCCGGCGGACTTTTTTGGACCACGCGCCAAACGCTTTGTTTGGGTGCGTTGCTTGACCCTTTCTTTGGTGGGGTCAGTGGCAGTGGGAAAGGAACACAGGGGAGACCACTCATGGGGCTTCTTTTTTTAGTTAGTTGAAAGGAACGTCCAAAAAAGCACCAATGATTACAGGGGCTCCCAATTGAAATCCAGATGCTGAGGTGACTTACACAGTGTCTCGGCAAGTTAGTTGCTGCGAAATAGGACGTCAACAACAAAATGCCCAGCATTTAAGCCAACTTTCTAGTGAACACCCTTGTAAGGAGCTGGTCTGGCCCTTACGCAGCTGGCTGGGCAGGGGTTCTCAACTACAGGG